AGATATTAACGTTTGAGAGAGGGCGATATAGAGATATTAACGTTTAAGAGAGGGCGATATAGAGATATTAACGTTTGAGAGAGGGCGACATAGAGATGTTAACGTTAAGAGAGGGCGATATAGAGATATTAACGTATGAGAGAGGGCGATATAGAGATATTAACGTTTGAGAGAGTGCGATATAGAGATATTAACGTTTAAGAGTGGGCGATATATAGATATTAACGTTTGAGAGAGGGCGATATAGAGATATTAACGTTTATTATATACTTACTAATAAATACGGGGATTTTGTATATGCGATACGACACAATTGCTCTAACCCATATCAGCTCTCGCCGTATCACACCCCAAAACCCGTAAAAATCGTTTTTCAATATTTCAAAAATAAAAATAAACCATAAGATAGTAGTTTTTATTAGTAATTATGTAATAAACAGAATAAACACGCCTTTTTCCATATCACACCCAGTATCAATCCTCGACCAATATCAGCCCTCGGGCCTTCGGCCCTTGGGCTGATGTTGCAGTCTCGGGTTGATACTGGGTGTGATATGGAAAAGGCATGTATTATTCTCTATTTAAGAGAGGGCGATATAGAGATATTAACGTTTGAGAGAGGGCGATATAGAGATATTAACGTTCGAGAGAGGGCGATATAGAGATATTAACGTTTAAGAGAGGGCGATATAGAGATATTAACGTTTAAGAGAGGGCGATATAGAGATATTAAAAGATCGCAAAGGCTTTGTACTTTTGTCAATATATATAGTTGAAGATAAATACCATTTATGATATCAAATATGCCATCTATTTAAAATATTAAGGGATACATTCATTTAGCACTACTACTGGTGCAGGTCATCTGTTTTCAAATTACCACATTTATTAAGTGCACAAAGCAATTAGGAATGAAACATTATGTGTAAAATATTTGAAGCCAACAAAATAAGATCTAGAAACCATACACTTACCCATTTAACTCTATGTAAAGGAGATATAAAAATTACTGTATTTTCTTATGATAATGGATATATATGCATCTGTTAACGGCAATCTTTATGCCCCGTTTATGCCATGACATATTATGTATTTTGCTGATGAGCTTATTACTCAAGGCTTAAGATACAGGCTACCAACACGTTAAACAATATTGCCAACATTGTCACTATTGTGAATATTTTGGTACAGTCCGTTCTGAAGAAAAGTTGCCATGTTTTTTTACGGAATTCTAGTTGTTCCCAATTTAAATGTTTGAAAATGAAATAAAAAGAAATTAAGTTAACTGCAGGGTTCGTCTTTGATACATTTACATTACAAAGCTTTCACTATACCAGTGTTTCTATAACGGAATAATAAACACCCCAATAAAATGAATGCCCAATCTAGTGACCGCAAGCATACGGGGAGCTTAACAAAGGAGGTTACTCTAGCCCAGAAAATTCTTTTTGCTTGCTTCATCATTAATATAGAAGGGAGAATACGCAAGTTAAAAATGATGAAAGGAATACTTCTCCGCGATTATAACTGATGAGACGGTACCCTTTACATTAAAAAAGAAATGCAATCTGAACTTTTACAACAACGTTCGTTTACTCAAAAATCTTAATCACATTTCAATCTTCACGTTTGAAAGTCATCATAAAAGTCGTCAATTATAGTATGTTTTTTTGGTATGCTTAACGATATTTAAACGTGTTTGTTGTATAATTTAGTCATGTGGGTGTCTGTTAAATAACGTATGTTTATCAAAAAAAAATAATACATAAGGTCATATGATATAAGGTAAAATTTAAAAAGAAAAAAATGCATTGCTCAAAAAGCCAGGTTATGTTTAGTTCAGATTTGCTATTACATCCTTGAAATACAATACAGGCACCGTGTTTACGTTAAATAAAGCACAATAGTAAGACTACGATGATGTGCATACTACTTGATATCCTTGGGATCCCGACACGCCCTTCGGTCAGGATGACCTATGACCCAGTCCTCTATCTTATCGTACACACGTCGATATTTGTCAGGATAATGCAACATACGACATAGGTCACAGTAAAACAAATCGATTTCCTCAGTAACGTAATATTTCCTCCAATTAAAGAAACTTTCAAACCTTGATTTATTCTTAGAAATCGCGTTCATTTCTTCCCCTAATTTCTCAATCGATGGAAAATCATCGGTGTTAAGAAATGAGCCTGGCGGTAAGAACATGTCATACCTTTCCGTCAATCCACGTGTGATTGGGATCGTATAAAGGTCATTCCAGTACATTTTAAACGGTTTCTCAGTTATGTAACCATCGCAAAAAGAATTTTCGAATGCGAGGTAATATTTATAGTGTTGGTCCAGCTCACCGAGGCATGACTTCTCTTGCGCCCGAGGACAGCTATAATCACCACAGCCGCCATAAATATGAATATCTACACTGTTAGCTAACTTTTTCGTGTACAGCTCTCGTTTTCCCACAGTTTGGCAATGAGATACAAACCATGCCGCCTGACGGTCCTTTGATTCCCATTTCAGAGGAGACAACTTCACATTTGAATATTTCGGGATTTTCATGAAAGAGCCATATGGCGAGAAAATATCCGAATCTCGTCGATGCGTCATCGTCCAATTAAATAAACCTCGCCATTTTTGTAGAGTTCCCTGAACGCCAATAGGAGGTTCCATAGCTTGAAACACCCATATTTGTCCTGGTGGCTTTGGAGGCACTTTCCAGTCTGCAGTAATATAGGGACCATGTACAATTGTGACGGCGGCGTCCTTGTTCACTGTGTCTCCGTCTGTCATGTGGCATTTGTGATCACATCTTGCGAACGCTTGTAAAGATACTGATACTGGTTTCCGATAATAATGAACATGTATGGACGTTTCTTCTTTCGGAGGTGAGATGATTTTGTCTTTGGTAACGCTTGACTCTAGTATTGGGAGCGGTTTGGTCGTAGCGGCGTTGGACTTGGAAAGGTGCTTGTTAAAGTAAGTCCAGATCGTTTTTAGTTGATAACACACTGCTATGCACAGCAACAGGACAAAGGCCCGTTTCAAGAAACTCCAAGGCCTGCAAAAAGAGGAGTATGTCAATGTCATAAATTGAAGACTAAAAGACAATTTTTTGTTTGATTGGTCTCAGGTAAGAAAACCTATACCAATCGCTAGGCTAATACCTGTCATTTGAAGATGATAAATGAGCGACACGTGACGTCAAAGTCAGTCGATTTTTACCTTACGATACTGCGAGATTCTTTTGATGTACATCAAAGGATCGAACTAGTCCTCTTGTCTCATCAACAAGGTGGCGCATACTAAGCCTTCCATTTCGCTATGACAAACTACGGGCGGGGTGCAGAGAGCAAACGTATGCGTAACCCCTGCACTATCGATGATAACAGGAGACCAGTTATCCTTACAGACACCCTGTTTACACATGCAGGGTTTAAACAAGCACTTAAGGATTGGTTGATACATCTTTGGTGCGTTTCGCCTCTCCTCCTGATAACATTTTGAATTATCTGCTATGTTCTGCCAGTTGACCTGGCTCGCTGAACCCATTACAGTGATGGTTAATGATATATCGTGTTCTTATCCTTGTTCATAAGTGATGAAAATATTGTATTCTGCAGCTTTTTAAATGGTGACCGTTGGAAAAAACTAAGTTACAGTTTTTCTTAAACTAAGTTACATGTATATAGAAACTGAGGCCATTTTAAGATAGTTTTGCTATACGTTACCACATCGCTGGCTCCTGCTGCAACGGTACACCTTTTACAGTTAAAACAGAATCGTGTATTCCGACGTCACGTCATCCCTGGCTTCTGCTGCCGCGGTAAAACCTTAAAAACAAAACAAAACAGAGTATGACATATGTTCTTTCGGTCATCACTGAATTCTGCTGCTAAGGCCGAACCTTTAAAGACAGAATATAGTTTGGTAAACGCGCTTTCCGTCATTTTTTTCTTTTGCATCAACGGTGGAACCATCAACTTTAAAACAAAGTATGATCAATGCACGTTCTGTCATCACTAAACAAAGTATGATCAATGTACGTTCTGTCATCACTAAACAGAGTATGATCAATGTACGTTCTGTCATCACTAAACAGAGTATGATCAATGTACGTTTTGTCATCACTAAACAGAGTAAGATCAATGCACGTTCTGTCATCACTAAACAGAGTATGATCAATGTGCGTTCTGTCATCACTAACAGAGTATGATCAATATACGTTCTGTCATCACTACACAGAGTATGATCATTCTACGTTCTGTCATCACTGAACAGAGCATGATCAATGTACGTTCCGTCATCACTAAACAGAGCATGATCAATGCACGTTCTGTCATCACTACACAGAGTATGATCAATGCACGTTCTGTCATCACTAAACGTAGTATGATCGATGTACGTTCTGTCATCGCTAAACAGAGAATGATCAATGCACGTTCTGTTATCATTAAACAGTGCATGATCAATGTACGTTCTGTAATCACTAAACAGAGTATGATTAATGTACGTTCTGTCATCGCTAAACAGAGAATGATCAATGCACGTTCTGTCATCACTTAACAGAGTATGATCAATGCACGTTCTGTCATCACTACACAGAGTATGATCATTCTACGTTCTGTCATCACTACACAGAGTATGATCATTCTACGTTCTGTCATCTCTAAACAGAGTATGATCAATATACGTTCTGTCATCACTGAACAGAGCATGATCAATGCACGTTCTGTTATCATTAAACAGTGCATGATCAATGTACGTTCTGTCTAAACAGAGTAAGATCAATGCACTTTCTGTCATCACTAAACATAGAATGATCAATGTACGTTCTTTCATCACTAAACAGAGTATTATCAATGCACGTTCTGTTATCATTAAACAGTGCATGATCAATGTACGTTCCGTCATCACTAAACAGAGAATGATCAATGTACGGTCTGTCATCACTAAACAGAATATGATCAATGTACGTTCTGTCATCACTAAACAGAGTATGATCAATGCACGTTCTGTTATCATTAAACAGAGCATGATCAATGTACGTTCTGTCATCACTAAACAGAGAATGATCAATGTACGTTCTGTCATCACTAAACAGAGTATGATCAATGTACGTTCTGTCATCACTATACGTTACCACACTGTTAAATTGACAGTACTGACAATAAGTGTAAACACAATAGAGTCGTATTTATGATAACGTTAAGTTGACAGTACTGACAATAAGTGTAAACACCATAAAGCCGTATTTATGATAACGTTAAGTTGACAGTACGGACAATAATATTAACACCATAGAGCCGTATTGATGATAACGTTAAGTTGACAGTACTGACAATAAGTGTAAACATCATAGAGCCGTATTTATGATAACGTTAAGTTGACAGTACTGACAATAAGAGTAAACATCATAGAGCCGTATTTATGATAACGGTAAGTTGACAGTACTGACAATAAGTGTAAACACCATAGAGCCGTATTTATGATAACGTTAAGTTGACAGTACGGACAATAATAGTAAACACCATAGAGCCGTATTTATGATAACGTTAAGTTAAATGCTCTATTTATAAAGACGTTAAGATGACCATGCTGACGATAGGATTTAGCATTGATAAGAGGACAGCCGGACTAACTACAGTCGAACTTAATTTGAACTCGGATATATTGAAATACCGGTTGATTGAAATAAAAAAAAAAGATTCCCCATCCACATGCCACATGCCTTCTTTGTCTTTGTTGCTATATATCGTTTGATTTGAAATCGGTTAATTTGAAATACCGCTTTAATTGAAAGGTAAATTCTGGCCCTCGGCAATGCTAAGTCCTTGTTTTCATATCGCCTATATTGAAAACCGCCACGGGGACCGTCACGCTATAGCGCGTCCGATGTTTCACCAGGTAAAAATGGATTTCTAAAACTATCAATCATCAATCAATCATTTATTTTATTTAAGTGTCACATGTAAGTACATATATTAAAACAGTTATATGAGAAATTTAAACATAAAACTATATTAACATCCAGCCATCAATGACTTATGAGACACTTTCAATCTTCAAAATTACTTCAATAGTCCATACATAAAAAATTAAAAATATTACAAAAAAGGTCGATTACATTTTAGATTAATTTTAGAGATATGTAGTTTGAAGATGCTTCACGATCTGTAGATTTCTTTACACACGTGTACCTCAACACCAGTCGCAAAAGTTCAATTTATCATAACTCTGTCAATTTTCAAATATCTAGCTGAAGTTTGGTACATAGGTGTATCATAGTCACACAGGAGCTCGGTTTCAGGATATTAGTACTTTCGGTTGGTAATAAACCTATACACACCAGTAAATAACAACAACACGTTTTATCTGGTGTTTACACATTCTAAAACTTATACCCTCAACTTTTATAAGGTTTACCATTTTGATAACTAAATGCTGGTATATGAGATATCTAAAATTGAAACATATTGCATGAAGGTTCTTATAATTATGTGAATTTAAGGAAATGTAGAGATTCAACTGGGGAGAATTAACTGTGATAACTTGTCATGAATAACCTGAATGTACCAGTATATGTGTGCAATCTTATTTTTGACAATAATATTGCAGTATCATAATTAATATTAATGGAAAATTAAGGATATTTTTATTTTACTGGTATACACCTTGGAATAAACAAAAAATCATAATTAATTTTTACACATTGCAAATTGTAGTTCTGAGCCTGGCATAAACTTGTATAATACCGGTATATTAATTTCAAATGTGATAAGAAAAGCAGAAGGAGAATGTAAATATAAATGCAAAGGTTAAAACATTTTAAAAATGGAAATAAATCTTGAAAGAAAAGGTTAGTTGTGCTATATATATTTATATAGTGTAGTGGTCATCACACTCGCCTCTCTTTGGTGGGAGACCCAGGTTCAAATCCTGGTGGAAATAATAGTACAACTTGAAACTATGTTAATACTACAAACATATATAAACATAAACTACTAATTATATACAACTCATTTCCCATTACTTGGTACATTTCATATGAATATATATATATACTTGTTAATTTGTTCTTTACTGCATACAACAACAGGACATTCGAACATCTTGGTAGGCAGTGAGTATTACATTTATGATTTGTGAACTTAAGCTAGAAAATGGATATTTTTTGGTTTTCAAAGTCTCGGTGTTGACCTCTTGTGAATGCCTTTTGTCCATCATAGTAACCACTTCAGATTTTAGTCAAACTTTATTAATTTATAAGATACAACCCTCCATGGGGGGGGGACATATAGTGTTGCCCATGTCCGTCCCGTCCCGATCAATGTTAACACTTAGCAACTTCATTCCTTCATGGACCGTGATCAAACTTTATGCAAAGGTCAAGTATGAGTACACTTCGGACATTGTTGTGTTTCAGGGTTCCAAGGTCAAGGCCTAGGTCACTGTTGCTATATATAGAAAATCATCAACTGATTCAAATTTAAACACTGAAGGGTCTGCCACACCATAACGTTCTGGTCAGCGTTCTATGAACATTCTAAAATGTTTAATCATTCAATTTTCGACCGTTCTAGAGTGAGTAGGACACATCTGGTGAGTGACTAAAATGTGAGTAACGTGTGACTAACGCATGACTAGCTTGTGACTTACGCATGAGGAGCGTGTACCAGCGACCAAGTAAGACACCCCTGAAAACTATAAGCGTGTGCTGACGTGTCACTGGCGAACGACGAACGATTAGTCAACGTTAGACGACCGTGGTGAGCGTGTGACACGCTGCATGCGCTAGGGGTCCGTTCAGTGGCCGTTGACAGGTCGCCAGTGAGTTGTTCACTGCAAAGGAAAGATTGTGAACGATTTATAACAACCAAGTAACGCTAGGGTAACGACTGACTGACAATAGCCGAACGCGTGCAACGTTCGGCGACGATAGTTCAACGTTCCACGAACGTTCCCCAGCGTTTAAAGTTAAACGTTGAAGAACGCTGGTCTCCATGAGAACTTCTCCGCGGATCACCGCCAATTACCAATGTTCACACAACACTCTTCTGGCACTATACCAGCGATTACCAACCTCTCCTCAAAGGTCATAGAATGCTGACCAGAATGTTATGGTGTGATGGCCCTATTAGCAACTTCATTCTTTCACGGATTTTGGTCAAACTTTATACAAAGGTCAAATATGGGTATACCTCTGATATCCTTGTGTTTCAGGGTTCCATGGTCAAGGCCAAGGTCACTGTTGCTATATATAGAAAATCATCAACTGATTCAATTTGAACACTAAGCAACTTCATTCTTTCATGGATTTTGGTCAAACTTTATGCAAACTGTCTTTTGTAATTTTAATTCTTCAATACAATTGAACATAATCGGTCTTTCATTAGCAAAATCGATTATTGGATCGGACCCTTTTCAAACTCGATTTAATCAATGTTTCCGATTATCGGTACACCACTAATTTTCATGGTATAAAAATTAAGAACCTGGCCCTTCTCTAGGGCCTATAGGGAGGGGCCAAAGAGGGCAAATTGGCTGAACTTTCAACATTCTTCTTCTTCAGCTCCAGATATGCTAGAATCAAACACTCTTCATGGATGGAAAGGTCCTAAGTCGCTATATCTGAAATTGTTATTTCATTACCCCCGTGTCATTCATTCCTCCACTATATCCTTTTTTTTTTTCGAAAATTGTCAGCGATATATACCGTATGTCAGACAATTATGTACCCACCATAAATGATGTCAATAATATATATTGGTCACTCCTAATATGAATTTCGCTCAAGGAATTCCAAAAGCCTTTTTTGGATTATATGAACTTACATCACTAC